AGTGAAAACAATACCCATGTTTTATTACTTGTTTATTTAGATAAAAACAAATATACATTCTGAGTGAAAAAAAGACTATCACATAAATTTTGATACAAGCAGGCATGAAACGTCGTTCAGAGATTATCATACTATGACGTCACAAGCACGTCACACTCCATCGGCTTCATCAGTTATTTTCGGAAGGGTGAAAAATAACCGGAAAATCTTAGAACTGATGGCCGTTGCATTTATCTCTTTGTCGGTGTTTCGTGACTTTTTAATTTCATGTTTTGCCACAGGCACAAAAAGTAAAAACGCGGATGTTTTCTGAAGATCCTTTGTGTCATCAACCAGTATATGTTAATATTTCTACCGGGAGATATTTTCAAAAAGAGCCGCATTAAACCAATAGGTTAACGTGTACATTTATTTATTACCACTCATAAAAGAAACAATGGATAATTAATTTATGTTGAAATCAACAATAATTGTCCAGACAACGAACCCGAGTTCAACGCCCTTTTTCAGCAACGTATTACTTTTTCACAACGCATGCCGATTTATAACTAGTTACAGACAGAAACTGTTTAATTTAATTTGACATCATTACCTTTCAAACCTCAGTGACAGTTACAAAATTTGAAATTCAATCCGGTGTTTCAGGATGGAACAGGAATTCTAAATATCGATATAACGACAATCTCAGTTACATCAAAGTATTACAATGTTTTCTTTTTTTAATTTCATTTTTTTTAACTAACATCTCTATACATTTACTTTTATAGACTTATCGTCAAATATGAAATATGCACTTTTTTCTACAGCAATTACCAAACAGTTTTTTCCCACCGCATTTCAATCATTCTATTTGTGACCTGACGGAAGCACGCAGAGGATTTAATTCTTAATTTGGGAGGAAGCCGCGGAGTATCCGGAGAAAACCCACGTAGTCGGGCAGGTAACCGGGATTGAATCCGGCCGTCTTGGTGAAGACGAGCGCGCTATCCACTGTGCCACCCGACACATCATATACGCTACGCACAAGAACAAATATCTACCTTAGCTTTGAAAATGGCGTCATTGATGCAAAAACTATATTGTGAATACATTTTTACCAATCATCTATGATACAAAAAATCTACATACAGGAGACCGGGGCAAGTTCGGCCACCCCTGATATTTTTGTTTTTGAGCTAATATTTACAACTTTAAAGATCTAAAAATTCTTAGCAGTTTAGTTGCCTGGGCATTCACACAACAAATGGCGAGGACAACTCTAATGTAAAATTACTAAACAGGAGAAAATTACTTTTGAGAGGGTAGAAAGAAAATCATGATCTCGCTTCTAGTTATGCGAACTTTCTGTAAACGGAATTGCTATTTTTTTACGGTCAAACGTGTAACACACGGACAGCTTCAAATGATATAAATAAAAGCAACGCCAATCACTCACTACCATATTGCTGTACAATAAGAATTTATTGAAATATCAATTTGGGCATGGACAGTTTCGGCCAATGATACCGTGGCAAGTTCGGCCATTGTAACACATAAAAAGTCGTAAAATTGGCGGTAAAATCTGACATTGCATGCTGCATAACGTCGTAATCTTACCCGAATGCCTGTCCGAATTTATCACATTGCGGGCCTTGTTCGGCCATCCGACCATCCGACAGGGAAAATTAAATAATGTTAAAAAACGGACGTGCTGCCATTATTCCCAGAACGGACTTTAATAAAAATGGGCCGAATTTGGCCCGATCTCCCCTATTATTATGTCGGTCTCATTAGAGTTTGTGTTTTATTATTATCCCTCGACTAGCCGACCTTAAATAAATTGTATCTTGCCTCATTCTGAAAGCAGTATTATCTCATTCTGAATCAGTAAATATCAGAGATCAACAAAAGCTTCGCTCTTTTGAGGCTTTGCCTTTTCATATTATAGAATATACATTGTATAAACAACTTCTATTTGCTGATCAAGATGTTCATCCTCAGGGCCTTGTCCATATATTAGGTATATATAACTATTAAAACTTCTTTGACTTCAGTTGTGATTAAGTCCACTGTCAGGACTGTTGACCTATATATTCATATGTAATTTTGATGTCTGATGTTTAAACTAGTTCCCGAGTATTTAATTGTTCAGAAATTAGACTTTAACAATTTTAATCACTTCGATGTTTGATGCTGAAGTCTGGCCAAATGTGGATAAGGTTTGTAATTTTACCTCAGATGTTGGCTGTCTGTAATCCTCACCGCAGGAACATTAACCACCCTTATAACCACAGACCGGACAGCATCTTATCTGATGACTTGATATTGGCCCAATTCCCTTTACTGACTACAAACTGGAGTTCACTAATAAAGTATTGGCCTATCCTAAATAAACCTAAAATAGTTGAACTTGGGAGTTAGTAAGAGAACTACATGCATTATCAAAATAAGATTCATTGTTGTGAAATGCAATTGCAAAACCATTCTGAGCTCAATTCTTATGCAGGACATATCATTCTTATTAATGCTGATATCAATGTACACATTTCAAGTGAAGATGTGTTTTGGAGCATGGACAGGCATTATGTGAAATATAAAACTTAATACGAGTTGTTTATCTGAAAAATAACCTGAAAATTAGCTGTATACCGCAATTTTAAAGGATCGTAAAAAACCGACCTAATAAAATATATTAGAAAGTATTTACATGAGAAAAAACATATATGTTATTTCCTGATCAGGATGTCCCCCGCTCAGGACCGTATACGTTATAAAATATATAATATCTGTAAGCATTGTCATCTGTATGTATCTGATCTATGAATACGGTTATAATGGGCGTTTGATTTTCTGATTAGAATGTCAGGAACGTAAACGTTCTAATATCCATAAATAAGGTGATTCAAGATAGGTTTGACCTATATTTCAAAATTGATAGGAAACCTCTCTTGACAGTATATTCATACTTAGTTTCCTGATCAAAATGTCCCTGCTCAGGACCGTATACACTATGATATGCAATTAAAATATGAAATACTTTAGATACAGTTTAATTCCTATTTCTAAATCATCTTTACTCTCCTATTGACTGTAATCAGTGTCACCTAAATGCATTTATTTGATCCATCAGTACGACTAGAATGAGCAATTGATTTCCTGACCAGGATGTCCCTGCTCAGGACCGTATACGTTCTAAACTCTATATACATAAAATTATTCAAGATATATTTGACGTCTTTTCCATTTCAAAATAATAAGGACACCTCACTTGACCGTACACGTTCTTAACTTGATTTATTGTATAAATAACAACGGATATAATCCCCGTTTGATTTCCTGATCATGGTGTACCTGCTCAGGACCGTATACACTATTATATTCAATTAAAATATGAAATACTTTAGACATAGTTTGTTTTCTATTTCTAAATCATGTTTACTTCTCTAAAAATATATGATATTTCCTGATAACGTTGTCCCTACCACTGAAGGGCCGTGTATGCTATAATTAGTATATATAAAGTATTTCATCGTTGATGTAATGTATTTTCAATTTGAAAATCATTAGGAGACCTCTCTTGACCGTAAACTTTGCAAACTTGATTATTCACCGTTTGATTTCCTGATCAGGATGTCCCTGCTGAGGACCGTGTATAAACTGTATATATATACTATATAAAGTATGCAACTCAAAGATATAACACTATAGACATAGTTTAATTATATTTCTTAATCTTACATTCGTCTCTGATCATATTTACTCCTCTCTTGATTCTAAGCACTATCGCCTTCATTAATACGGATATAATGAGTACTTTTTTTCCTGATCAGGATGTCCCTGCTCAGGACCGTAACAGTGCAACAGTGTCTAACAGCTGAGCTGCCCTCACTGGAACCGGGGCTGACGGGGACCACCGTTGCATATTGTGGCGTTTTCATACATTTATTTTAGCAAAAATCTGCAAAGATTTGCATCAATATGTGACTAATGTTTAGCATAGGAAAGTATCAGCATCAAATTATCAAGACAAAGGGATTCTGATCATTGTTTTTAATACAAAAAGTGTAGCAGAACTCATAATGCGGAGTTGGAATATAACAGTTACCTCCCTTTGATCATTTAGATCTATGTAAAATGAACAACGAAATACTAAAAATATTCATCTAATAGCATACACGGTCGTGAGCGGGGACATCCTTATCAGGAAAACAAATGTTAAATACATCCGTTGTGAATCTTCTCATAAGTAAAGTCAGCAGCAATGCATTGGTCAAGCGATGTGTAAATAATGTTTAAATTAAAATTACGTGAACGAGGAAATATTAAATATTTACATCTTGTAACATACACGGTCCGGAGCGGAGACATCCTGATCAGGAAACAAGTATCAAACGTATGATATCGTTAAGCCTAGAACTGCCCGCAATATATGATATTTCCCGATAACGTTGTTCCTACCACTGAAGGGCCGTGTATGCTATAATTAGTATATATAAAGTATTTCGTCGTTGATGTAATGTATTTTCAATTTGAAAATCATTAGGAGACCTCTCGACCGTAAACTTTGCATATATATACATTTATAAACTGAAAAGGGGTCGTATTGATTGAGGAAATACGTAGAACCCCGACTTATAAGAATGGCATATTACCATTCTTATAAGTCGGGGTTCTACGTATTTCCTCAATTAATACGACCCTTTTTCGAAGTCCGGACGAGTTATCCTATCTTGACGGTCCTTACCAGCCCCGGTCCCAGTGAGAGACAGCGCAGCTGTCTGACGCCACTCGATAATGATGATGTCACACCTGTGTTTTAAACAAAGTAAATAAACTATATTGCATTAATTTCGATAATCTTACACATATGTAGCACAGATTACTAGCCGACCTTATTTAATAAACGAACAACAGTGATCCGACCGGTTTGACCGTTGAATAAAACAGTGTGAAGTAGCTAGTACAGAGTTGATTCCCTTGCAATACACTCTTCAAGAATCTATATCACACAAACGTTTTCCTGAAAGCTGACCAAAAAGAGCCAGTTGGATTGACACCGAGAAGATAAAGACGATCGATGGTTGCGTACTTTGGTACAGAACTTGTTTGGCAGTTTTTCATTGGTCTGACGGAACAATGCTGATTAAATATTGATTGATAATAACTCTCGTTATGCCTAGAACTGCCAATAGAGATATGAAGCGGTGGACTAGGTAAGTCGAACGATATAATTCTCTAATATCTCTATTAAATATTGTATACAAAATTGCTTCTGGATCAATAACAACTAGATTCAAATTAGTTTTACAAAAAAATGATAAACTCTGATCAAACAAGTGATGACTTTAGTCAATTCGATTAAAGATTACTATAAGGTTCAGAAATATATTGCTCGTGGTAAAGGGGAACAATGTCTTAGAAGATTTACTTCTGAATGGGAAAAATGGTTAAAATTAGTAGAGCTTGACCTCACCTAACCCTGAGTCTTTTGACTATTTATATTAAGATAGGCCTAGTAGGTGTTATTCTCTTGCTTACTCCAATCCCTCCTATTTATGTTTACAAGCAGGTGTCTATTCAATTAGAATAAGTAGCAATGACTGCTGATGCAGGTATACATGTACAGTGTAAGTCAGATTTGTGTTTTTTGAACGATGCAGGTTGAGCCAACTTATTACTATCTTTCTTTGATGGTAACATACAGGAACAAATGTACTTTAAAACAAAATATTGACAAAGGCTCACAGCTAGCCGTTATTTATTTTATTTATTTTCTTCACAAATTTGGCAGTCTGATTTTGTTTTGTCTCTCTATGTGTGAAAGTGCGTAAAAATTGAATGTGTCTTGGTGATTGTATAAAATCATCATCATCATCAGATGATGAGGATGAGGATAATTTCAATAGTTGATATGTGTGGATGTGATGTTCTGTATAATGTACATGTTCTGAAAATCTTGAAAAAAATCAATAAAAAATCTCCCCTTCTTCCAAAAAACCCACGCACAAAGACTCCAAGATTGAAGCGATATTTGTCCGTGTGTGCATGTATGTGGGGTATAGGGTGCCTATCATATATAATATACATATATATACATAGGTACAGTGTTACAGCATTTGACCGTGATGTATTGATGTGAGGACAGTGCATACGTATGTAAGGAATGTTAAGAGAGGACTTGTTAGTATTCGTCTCTTGGGCACGGGTTTGAACACACAGGACAGCCAAAAGTTAGTATGGGCATGGAAGGGTTGTAAAGGGGATTGTTTACGAAGAGTTGGTCAAAATGCTGTAAACTGTGATAGGAATTAAAAAGAGCTGTTTGAGTTGTAAAGTGCACACTTGAATGAGTCAAGCTTGTAAGCAGTAGCTACAGAGACTGGCAGGGATTTCCAATCTCTTAAAGTATGTGGAAAATATGAAAATTTGTAAAAATCTTTTGCTGCAATAATAGGTTTAAATTTGTGCTTGCCTCTTTTCCATGAATCTGGTTTGATAAGTGGTATAGCTATGGAGTGATTTTGTATTTTGTACATGTTGATCAGTCTCGCATTCCTCCTCCGTTTCTCTAAGGGGTCCCACTGAAGAGTATCCACCATAGTGGTGACTGATCCAGGGGTGCGGGAGCTGTAATCATTGAACACATACCTGGCTGCTCTCCTTTGTACTGCTTCTAGCTGAGTGATATGGTCCCATGCTGAGCACGCATAATCTAATTGAGGACATACTAAGGACGTGTAATTAAGGGCCTTATATAATTAATCCTCCTAGAACAACCGTGCATGTTACAGCACAGAAAACCAAGAGTCCTTTTCGCCTAGGCGGTTATGGAGGAAATATGAGGTCCCTAGGCGATTTCTTGAAAAATGGTAACACCTAGATATTTGCTAGCAGGAACTATCTGGAGGGTTTGACCACTGATAGAGTAGTTGGCAGTGATGACAGAGCACTTCTTGCATATTCTGATTACAAAGCATTTATCTGCATTAAAGCTCATCTGCCATTTAGAATCCCACTTTGGTAGATTTGAGAGGTCATCTTGAAGTTGTGGAGAATAATTTTTGTTGTGTATAGTTCTAAAAAGCAGGCAATCATCGGCAAAGAGGCGAGCATTTGATTGTACACAGTTTGGTAAATCATTTATCAAGAGTAAAAAGAGAAGGGGCCCTAGGACTGTGCCTGGGGGGGACACCAGAGTCGAAGGGGAGAGGATCAGAAGTGCAATTATTGAGCTTGACTCTCTGTAGCTGGTTATGGAGGAAGGAGGAAATCCAGGCATGTGTAGAATTCCTAATATCGTAGAAGTGGAGTTTATGGAGTAAGCGTTGATGTGGGACTTTTTCACGCTTTTGAAAAATCTAATAGTATTGCATCAATTTGGTTACCATCAGCTATGCCTTGGAGTGTAATAATGAGCTGTGATTCACAGGAATGTTTTGAACGGAAACCGTGTTGGTTTCTAGACATAATATGGTGGAGGTCCAGGTAGGACATCAGCTGCTGTGAAGTATGTGCTCTAGGAGCTTACTACTAATAGATGTTAAGGAGACTGGACGATAGTTTGAGGCAGAATGCTTATCTCCCTTCTTAAAGATGGGGACAATATTAGCCCCGGTCCAGTCACGTGGCACAGTACCAGAATCTAAGAAAAATTAATAGAGTTTGGTAAAGAAGGGAGAAAGTTCTAAAGAGAGTGTGTGTGTAAAACTTGGGCAGAGATGTTTTCAGGCCCAGTGGCTTTGTGGGGGTTGAAACCCTCCAGGAGTTTTTGGATGCCATTCTTTGAGACTGTGATGTTTGCCATAGTGGGGTATAGACTTGGAACAAAGTGAGGTAGAGATGACATATCTTCTTTGGTATAAGCAGACTTGAACTGTTGGTTTAATATAGCTGCTTGGGATTTGGCATCATTATAAAGCAGACCGTCAGTGTTCCGTAAAGGAGAAATGCTAGATGATTCTGCCTTCTTCGACTTAATAAAAGACCAAAATTTCCCAAATTTAAAGAGGGACCACAGTTCTTCAACTGAGTTTACCTTTGCTAGAATTTCTGTCACAAGGTCTACTGCTTCCCTTTTTAAAGCAGCTAGGTCACATTGTTTCCAAAGGAAAATGCAACGTTGTGGTTGTTTAAGCCTTGTAATGGACAAGTATGATGTCGTGGTCTCCTATACCTGAAAGAGGTTTGATGTTATTGACAAATGATGGGTAATCAGTCATGAGTAGGTCAAGTGTGTTGTCTCCTCATACAGGAAAATCGACCATTTGTTCAAGCCCAAGGTCATGACAAAGATCTACAAGCTGATTCTGGCATCAAGATTGACTTGATCTACCCATTGGAGCCAGTGATGGGAACCGTCTAGGCTATAGATTCACTTGTTGGAATTTTAGTTTAAAACCAATTGTGCATTGATTCACATTACCCCTTCAGGGGCCCCTTGAACTTTTGCAAATTTCTGATTTTAAAACACCAATTTCTTGTTAACCATGTTGATTTTGTAGATTAATGTTTCACAACTAACACCTTTAATGTCTTCTTTAGTTATTACATATAAATAAAATAAGATATATTTATATAGTGTAGACGTAACAAGTACAAAATGTACATTGTTTATGTTCCTTCATCGGTAGTATAGAATGTGCGAGAATGACAGCTGTCTGGCTTTTGTTCTATATTTTTTCTTATATTAAGAAGTTATGTAACTCCCGTTCCCATTATCTTTGATAAATCTTGTTCAATATGATCAGTTGGTTAGTTTTATTCTACAGAGTTGTCTTAAAATATGCCAAAATTGAAACTAAAATGAGCCTGGGAACAATCATTTTTCTTTTGGTTGCCATGGTGGCACGGAAAAACTTTGATGATCACGTGATCCAACATACTCCACCCCTCATTAATATTCATAAGAAAAAATGCCACATGGTTGTTTTAGCCTTGTAATGGACAATTTGGATTCGACAAGTATGATGTCGTGGTCTCAAATACCTGGAAGAGGTTTGATGTTATTGACAAATGATGGATAATTAGTCATGAGTAGGTCAAGTGTGTTAATTGTCTCCTCATACAGGAAAATCGACCATTTGTTCAAGCCCAAGGTCATGACAAAGATCTACAAGCTGATTCTGGCATCAAGATTGACTTGATCTACCCATGGGAGCCAGTGGGCTGAACCACTGTATGTTAGGAAGATTGAAGTCACCTGCGAGCCAAAGTGTATCTTGTTTATGGTCTTTTTGTAATGTCTGCAACTCAGTATAGACAGAGGATAGGTATTGTTCGTCCAGTTGGTTTGGGGGCCTATATAATGAGGCAACAATAAGATTGCGACACTTGTTTATCGCAATCTTAACTACAACAAGTTCAGACTTTACTACATAGGAGTTCAGAACTAATGAGATTATTATTATTGACTGCGATTAGTATGCCCCCATACCCATCAGCTCTATCATTCCTGTATACTTTGTATATACGCTCCTTACGTAACCTGCAAGAAAACTAGGATATTGAGTGAATGCTGTCTTTGAACATGTGGTGTGTTTTACACCTGTCAACTTATTTACATAGACAAGAATCTAAAGGAATAGTCTCAATCATAAAGCATCCCCCTTCCTTCCTCTATGCATACATTAACACTGCAGTTTGATCACAGGGGTTCGTTACAAATGTATACATATTGAGATATATGTGTACATATATATATATATATGCTATACTGATATGGGTCACAGCATGTGCTGTGACCCGTGTCAGTATAGCATATGTGTATTTCAAATATTTGTAACGAACCCCTGTTGTTAGTACTAATATTAATACCCAGCCTCCTCTGCCCCGGCCACGTATTAGATCGATCCAGTGCCTTGTAATGGAGCAAGCCCTGTGTGAATCACACCGGGGCGATTTTAGAATTAATTGACAGCACATTGGTCCTCATCCATAAATAGGGTTGAAGTATGATTTATTTCTGTTGATTTCCTGCACAACTTGAAGTTAAACTCTACCTAAAATGTCGTTAAATTATCAAGTTAATGTAGCAAGCGCAATCGAAATCTGAATTGACCGCCATGTTGGAAAGTTCGTCTCTCTTCCGATATAGGTCAGACGTCTAAATAAGGGTGTCATGTCCCAATATGGAAATTGTAGTAAACATGGCAGCATCAGTATTAATACTATATTTGGCCATGCAGGCCATATATAGAAAGGATAATTGAGATAACATCACGCGTGATCCGTCATGGCGGTCATGTCTATTTTTTCCCCCCAAGACAGACTTAGTTAATTTCATGAAAGAGTTTTTTTCATTCGTAATATCAGGAATCGTTTTTCAACAATTATGCAATATTTTGATAACATTATACTCATATGAGGTGTGATTTATATATAATCTCACAGATTAGCACTTTTGATTTTGCTCCATTAGTTGGCATAGGACCGCTTCGTAGCTCTGACGTTGCAATTTATAAAAAAAATCTCTCTTCATCAGAAAGCTACGTTATCGCAGCTACCCTGTGGTTTGATCACGGTGTAGTATTATACATGTATTAAAGAGTCATTCTGGGAATATGGAACAGAAACTTATATAAAGAGAGATTGGTCACTTGATCTTAGAACTGAATGACTCCCTTGATTCAGATTGACAGAACCCATTGACATATTACCACATATTTGGACGTGGAAATCAATATTGTCACTGTGGTATCATTCTCTCTTTAATTGATATAGTACTATGAAATAGGTATTATCTAGAGGTGAACATTTGATGATATTTTACTGCATTTAAAGTCAAATAGAAAATTAACCAGATTAGTGTAATGTAATGCATATGAAACAGTGTTTTCTGGAAAGAATATATACATGTATTGTTTAATTATTAATATTGCAAACATGCTGTTCACCTGAATTGAATAGTGACATTGTCATTCATTGTTACTTTATGCTGCGTAGTGTCACATAGAGTTATTATGAATATATCCAAGCAACATCAATTACATGTATTGTTCCATTAAAAGAATATGTTTCAAGTTGACTGAAATGTAGCAGAGATTAATTATCTCTGTTTCTATTTTGATATGACTAGTATGGCATCATCATATGTTTCCAATAGGCAGGGATGATGTGAATTTGTACAATAGCACAGAAACTTTGATGCTGGTTGAAAGTTTATAAATAAATATTTTGAGTACTTACAATTGAAATAAATCTCTCAACATTTTTGTTCGTATCATATCTATGACATTTCTATGCATTGTACAGTACGTACTGCCAAACAAAGATGTAATTTTGGGAAAGATGATATTGAAGAGTCTAAAGAATAGTCCAAAAGTTCAAACATGCATGAACTACATTTTGTCCCATTTCAAACAGAGAACTATGATACTTTAATTTTGCTTTGGAAAATCATGGCTATCAATTAACAGATATGTAAACATGCTGTAACCTGATTAGGGAAGTGGTTTGACTTGCTAAGTAGGAGAGATGTTATGGTACAGTGTTTTATAATGGTGAATTTGGGGCTGTCATATCTATAATACCCTTTCTCCTGGATAACTTCTGCTGTTTTTCGCAAAGTCAATGCAAAACTAGTTTTATTTCCCAAACATTATACTTATTGTGTAATATTGTCCAAGAGTCACAAGGCACAGGCCCCTGTTGAAAAGAGATAGATGAATTGATGTGGTAGGTTTTGATCAACTTTGACCTGGATTCCAGATATGTTCATACTTGTTACCTATGTATCTATGAAGCTTACACCCTGAGCTCACTCCAAAGACACAAGAGCATTTAATATTTTTGTTGTTTTAGGCAGTTTATATTGCATCCATTTGACGTAGTCCGAGATATGTCTTGCCATCTTTTTAACTTTCTCCATAAGGACTCGGCATATGTCTCAAATATTTTAAGAATTTTCACATAGTCAATAATTGGTGATTTTTGTGGCATATAATTTTCATTAACTTATGTAGTTTTTAGCTCACCTGGCCCAAAGGGCCAAGTGAGCTTATGCCGTGGTGCGGTGTCTGTCGTCCGTCCATTGTCCGTCCATCGTCGATCATCAATATTTTACTTTAAACAACTTCTTCTTAATATCTAAAAGGCCTAGGGTGATGATATTTGGCCAGAAGCAAACAGGGATGAAGGGCTACCAAGTTTGTTCAAATAATTTACCTTCATCTATATTCAAGGTCACAGGGGTCAAATATATTAAAAACTTTTAAACAACTTCTTCTGATAACCCAAATGCCCAGGGTGATGATATTTGGCCAGTAGCATGCTGAAATGAAGGGCTACCAAGTTTGTTGAAATGAGTGACCTTTACCAATATTCAAGGTCACAGGGGTCAAATATGTTCAAAACTTAAAACAACTTCTTCTGAATAACCCAAATGCCTAGGGTGATGATATTTGGCCAGTAGCATGTCGAGATGAAGGGCTACCAAGTTTTTTCAAATGGATTACCTTTACCCATATTCAAGGTCACAGGGGTCAAATATGTTAAACCTTTATACAACTTCTTCTGAATAACCAAAATGCCCAAGGTGATGCTATTTGACCAGTATCATGTTGGAGTGAGGGGCTATCAAGTTTGTTCAAATGAATGACTTTCACTTATATCCAAGGTCACAGGGGTCAATTGTCTAAAACAAAAATTACCAAAAGGCCCTGGATGATGATATTTTGCCAGTAGCATGCTAGGAAAAAGGGCTACCAAGTTTGTTCAAATGAATGACCTTCCCTTATTAGCTCACCTGCCCGAAGGGCAAGTGAGCTTATGCCATGGTGCGGCGTCCGTCATCCGTCTGTCCGGCGTCAACTTTTTACTTTAAACAACTTCTTTTCAGTAACCAAAAGGCCTAGGATGATGATATTTGGCCAGTAGCATGCTGGGATGAAAGACTACCAAGTTTGTTCAAATGAATGACCTTGACCAATTTTCAAGGTCACAAGGGTCAAATGTCGTAAAATCTTCATGCGACTTCTTCTCAATAACCAAGAGGCTCAGGGTACCGGTACTGATATTGGGCCTGTAGCATGCTGGAATGAAGGACTATCAAGTTTGTTAAAATCAATGACCTTGACTAGTTTTCAAGGTCACAGGGGTCACCGTCGTAAAATCTTCAAGCGACTTCTTATCAATAACCAAAAGGGCCAGGGTACTAAAATTCGACCTGTAGCATGCTGGGATGAAAGACTACCAAGTTAGTTCAAATGAATGGCCTTGACCAACTTTCAAGGGCCTGTAGCATGCTGGAATGAAGGACTATCAAGTTTGTTAAAATCAATGACCTTGACTAGTTTTCAAGGTCACAGGGGTCCCCGTCGTAAAATCTTCAAGCGTCTTCTTATCAATAACCAAAAGGGCCAGGGTACTACAATTCGACCTGTAGCATGCTCGGATGAAAGACTACCAAGTTTGTTCAAAAGAATTACCTTGACCAACTTTCAAGGTCAAAGGGGTCAAATGTCGTAAGATCTTCAAACAACTTCTTCTCAATAACCAAAAGGCCCAGGGTACGAAAATTCGGCCTGTAGAATGCTGGGATGAAGGACTACCAAGTTAGTTCAAATGAATGACCTTGACCCACTTTCAACCTAATGTCCTTGTTCGACAATCAAGGTCACAGGCGTCATATGTTTAAATCTTTTAATAGGTTTTTATGAAATCTTAAGATTACAAGTGTTAGATTAATAACAGGTGAGCGATGCAGGCCCATTGGGCCTTTTGTATTTAAGGTCACAAGGGTCAGATATGTTTAAAACCTTTAAACAACTTCTTCTGAATAACCAAAAGGCATAGGGTGATGATGTTTGGCCAGTAACATGCTGGGATAAAGGGCTTCCAAGTTTGTTGAAATGAATGACTTTGACTTATATTTAAGGTCACAGGGGTCAGATATGTTAAAACCTTTAAACATCTTTTTTTTCTGAATAATCAAGAGGCGTAGGGTGTTGAAACTAGGCCAGTAACATACTGGGATAAGGGGCTACCAATAAATGACCTTGACTTATATTCAAGGTCACAGGGGTCAAATATGTTTAAAACCTTTAAACAACTTCTGAATAACCAAGAGGCATAGGGTGTTGAAATTTGGCCAGTAACATGCTGGGATGTAGGGCTACCAAGTTTGTTCAAATGAATGACCTTTACCCATATTCAAGGCCACAGGGGTCAAATATGTTGAAATCTTTGAACAACTTCGGTAATGATATTTGGCCAGAAGCATGCTGGTATGAAAGGCTATACGGTATGTACAACTTAATGTCCTTGTGTCACATGTTTAAATCTTTTAATAGATTCTTTTAAATCAAACACTGGTATTATGCCTGTAGCTGTATTTATGTCCATTTTTAAGATAACAAATGTAAGATTAATATCAGGTGAGCGATTCAGGCCCATTGGGCCTCTTGTTTGTATTGAATACTTATGTTACATATTTGTTGTTTGAAACAATATTCAGAAATATTGAATGACAAAAAAAAGCCACATAAATACCACCCTTTTCTCAATAATCTTTCTCCCAAATAGATCTATTGTCAGACATTGCCACCCTCAGGAACGAGTGTTATACACACAATGTATATATATTTTCATGTCTTAATTCATTTGGTTCCAATATTGTATTTCAGAATCACATTAATACTTCAATGATAACCTGAAGGTATTCCTAGACATAAGAAATTAAATGGTGCTTTAGTCCTACTGATGCTAATATGCCAAAGGAAGGGAAGGGAGCTGCAACCATTCGTAGACGAAAGCTAAAACACGCTCAGGATGCACGAGAACGAGCAAAACATTCCCGACCAATGTCACCTATTCCATCCGACAATGAACAGGAAATAGATGAGATTGAAGAAGGGTACATTTTCCAGGAGGAAGTTCTAGGGCCACTGATTGTCAAAAAATTAATGGCAACTGAGAAAACTATCTTTCTTGGATTAATAGCTTTAAGGATTTGTAATGCATTGATGATACAGACCTATTTTGTTCCTGACGAGTATTGGCAGTCATTGGAAGTTGCCCACAAAATTGTATTCAAGTATCCTTTTTCTACAAACCACAATGGTGTGATTGATTTCAATTATGAAATCATGTGTATATGTTTAATTTGGCATGTTACTTGCAGTACATATTTTAGATTCCACATCAGGTCACATCAGTTAATATCACATTTCGGTTAATATCATGTTGAAAACAATTCTTTCTTTAATGGTTAAGATGGTCCATTAATTTAGCCGTTCAAGGGGATTTCTTCCAGGGTTAAGCTTTGTTATGTTATGATAAAGTGAGAACTATATAAAGCAGTCTTTACCTAATTTCAGGAACAAATACACACAAGTGTAGATATATGTCATTTTAAAAACTGTAACATCTGCTGTTTAAATGGTATCCAGTTGTATGAATGTCAAGTAATGCAAAGTTAAACAACTGATGTTCTTATTTACATGTTTTTCCATATTATTTCCTTACATCTGCCTCAGTTATGGTTATCTAACTTGGGAATGGAGACAAGGAATTCGCAGCTACTTCTACCCAACAATTTTTGCCTTCCTCTACAAAACCTTGGCAGTCTTAGGATTAGATCATAGACTCTTGTTGGTGAGATTGTCATTTTATTTGATGTAGGATAATGATGTATTATTATTTATATAATATTGTATTCACATTGTAGATTTTCAAAGTAATGTTAGATGGAAAAGTTTACATGCAGGATTTTAAAACTTTTAAAACACCAGAATGATAGGTATGGGTAATTCAAAGTGTGAAGATTCTGATTTACACTTACCCTGGTAAAACAATTAAACTAACTTAGACATAACAAAATAAAAGTAATCACTGCAAAAATATAACTATTGTTATGTAACATGTAAAAATGAATAATACATGTGTAACAGGAAAGAGAATCCACCGGGTATCGAACCCTCTTTCTCCAGGTTCCTAGTCGGATGCTCTACCATTGAGCTAAAGGGAAATTCCCTTTAGCTCGAAGGCGACCATAATCCTATGTACAATTAAAATCTGCCACACTACTCCCCCCTTTTTAAATGTGTTCGCCCTCGTATACTGCAACCCAGGTTCTAACTCCCTAAACAGTACTCCTAAGAATGAAAGAATGGAAGCGGGGCTTCATTAAAGTATGTTATGGAGTTTTTTGTTAAGGAATTGTTTCATCTAGCTGGAGAAAAAAATAATGCAAACGCATTTTTTTTTTTTTACAAATTGTACTCTTTATGCACCTGTCAAATTTTAACAAAAAGGAAAATGAACATTTTTATTTTGTAGATAAAATTGCCAAGAATACTTCAAGGAGTTATAGCTGCATTGGGTGATCTGTACCTGTTCAAATTGTCATGGAAAATAAGTGACCGTGCCACCGCCCAGTGGACCCTGCTGTGTCAGATCCTGTCCTGGTTCACCCTGTACTGTTGTACTCGCACACTGTCAAACTGCATGGAGACCGTCGTCATAACCATGGCACTCTATTATTTCCCTTGGCCAAACATCAAAGGGTTTGTTTTCTGTCACAACTTTGTACACTAGAGATGTGAGAGTGAGTGAATGGGCTTTAACGTACACGTAAAATGCTCTTGTGGAAAATACAAAATTACAATAACAAATGAAATATTACATAATATCAATGGCATTAAACCTTAAGGTCAAATGAGTGTATTGATAAACGGAAATAGGAAGTACATCCCTAGTTGAAAATCCAATGTATAGAGACAGTATCACAATTTCTGCATATTCTAATGAGTCTAGAGTTGTGATGAATATTGTATGTTTATTATTGACAGAACAGTGTTTTTCTCTCAATATTAGAGTATTTCAAAGCAATCAAGGCATTCATTCAATTGTTTTTTTATCTATGAGTCACATGTGTCCATTTTTCTGTACTTCAGGAAACCGGCTACCTATTTCACTACTGTGAAGTTTTTTAAGAAAGATAACTCTTACATGCAATTACTATGTGTATATGGTTTTATTATAAAACATCAATTTTTAATCGTTTATAGATCATTTATTTTACACAATTTCAGCATTTATTAATGGAAGTATCATTTTTATTGACATTATTTTTACAAAAAATTGTGTCTTTAATTTTTTTTTAAAATTCACTCCTTTTTACATAAATTTCCATTTAAAATCCTTCAAATTCTGACAACCTATATTTTTTTGTGGCAGAAATTTTTCTTTACTTCAAAGCAATATAACTACAAAATTTGAAGAAAATCTACTGAGAAATTGTGACACAAACCTATTACCTTTATAGAATATACCTATTTATTAATTGGAAAAGTTACCTGAATAATCCTTACTACTTCACACAAAACTTGGCATATATAGTTTACCCTCTAATAATGTGTCTGTGTTTTGTTTACTACTTCATGTTTCTACTGATGTTAACAATTATTTTTTAAGTAACTTAAGTTAGGCCTGCATGCATGCCATGGACATATCATTTAGGTATTATTCAAACAAAACATTCACAACTTCCATAAGTATTGATTCCACTTTGATCTTTTCATTTCACTTAAATTATTTTGTTATGCTACAAGTAAGCTACAAATGTAGTTTAATTTGGTTGGTAAACTTTTTGAAATTGTTACTTTAAATGTTTCAGCAATGTTTGTCAACAAGAATTTCCCAATGTTCCATTGATCAGCATGTTGATTATTTATGTCATGAACAGATCTTCTGTACCAAAGTTTGTGGCCCTGGCTGCTATGTCCGTCCTTATCCGTCCAACAGCTGTTGTCATCTGGATCCTCATGTGTTCCTGGCATCTCCAAAATAACCAACAGAGACTCCAGAAAGATCTCAAACACTACTTCATCATCGGGTAATTTACTATCCAGAAACAAGACAAGTTTATAAATGAGTTGATTAATGAACAAAATCATTGTGACAAGTTATTGTCATTTAATAAGAAAGTTCACTTCACTTGCTGATTCAATGTATTGGTGGGTTATTAAAAGTTCAAATTGATCTTTTTCTCTAAGCATGTTTCTTATCTAATACTTTGATATTCAAATCGCTGTAGTTATTTTCCTGTTATACGTTTTATAAGTATGTTATTATGTCTCCCCTTCGAATGAAGGGAGACATATTGTATTAGTACTGGTTCTTCTTCTGGTTCTACTTCTTCTTCTGGTTCCTCTAATCACAACTTGTCCTGGCCATAACTTTTAAACCATTGGATATCTTGATGAAACTTTAGGTATGCATGCATCACCCACAGAAGGTGTGCAAATGCACTAGAATTAGGTCACTGAGACCTTCACCTCAAGGTCAAAGGTCAAATAAGTGCAACATTTTCTGTAAATTCTTGTCCAGCCTGTACATTTTAAACCGTTAAAGATATCTTGATCAAACTTAAAGTGTACCTGCATCACCCACAGAAAGTGTGCAGTGCACTGGAATTAGGTCTTGTGCTTAACTATATACAGAGTTATGGCCCTTTGTTTATTTTTAATACTGAAGTTTGTCCGGAGCAAAAGTTCCATGTTATTTCATCTACATTGACCAAACCTACCTTATTTATGTATCATGGGAAGGCAGAATCTTTCGCACTAAAATCAGGTTTTATGCCCAGCTATATACAGAGTTATGGCCCTTTGTTTATTTCTAATACCGAAGTTTGTCCACGGTATAACTTCTAAACCATTAAAAATATCTTAATCAAACTTGAAGCATACCTGCATCACCTACAGAAGGTGTGCACCCCTTTGTCCTGAGCTGTGCAGGGCAAGTTTTGAGACTGATGGGATAAACAACATAGCCGACAGGCAGCCATCTTGGATTTTGATATTGAAAGTTTGTTATCGCTATTTCTCAAGAAGTACAAGAGGGATCTTTCTCAAATTTTATATGTAAGTTCTAAATTCCCCTTAGTCCATAGCTGTGCAGGCAGCCATCTTGGATTTTGCTGGTGTAGGTTTGTTACCGCTATTTCTCCGGAAGAACTAGAGAGATCTTTCTTAAAATTTATTTGTAGGTTCCCCTTGGTCCTAGCTGTGCAGGGCAATTTTAGAGATTGATCGGATAAACAACATGGCCGCAGGCAGCCATCTTGGATTTTGAAAGTGAAAGTTTGTTATCGCTATTTCTCGGGAAGTACCAGAGGGATCTTTCTCAATTTTTATATGTAGGTTCCCCTTGATCTCTCGTTGTGCATGTTATATTTTGAGACTAATCATAAAAACAAAATTGATTAATAGAAGAACTAAACAGATCTTTCTCATATTGCAATGATCGATTCTATTTCTTTCACATTAAGTACTGTACTAGTAAATATGTGAAATGACAAACTCACTTTGAAGGTTGGCTTTCATACACATCAGTATTAAGTTTAGATCAAAAGTTATCTTAAGGTGCATTTACTGTTAACATGACCCGAACAAACAGAATAGAGGAAAGAAGAGAAAAGATCGAACTGACAAAGAACTAATGAAGATCGTACAAAGGTGGGCGCCAAGATCCCTGGGGGATCTCTTGTTTTTAATATTAAAGTTTGTCCATAAGTTCCATGTTATTTGACCTACGTTGACCAAACTTACCATATTTATGTATCTTGGGAAGGTGGAATCTCTCGCACTAAATTCAGGTTTGTGCCCCACTGTATACAGAGTTATGGCCCTTTCTTTGCCTGTTAGTGGATAAGAGTGAGAGCAGGCAATGTTAGTGGATAAGAGTGAGCACAGGCACTGTTTATATTTTCAAACCTCCTCCTCCTCTTCCTCCTCTTCCTCCTCCTCCTCAAATGACCTCTCTTCTGAATCCTTCAGGGGGGTTTTGACCACCAATGCATAAAATTATCCTTAGATGATGAGCATATCCCAGAAGGGACTAAGCCCCCACTGTACAGTGTAAACCTTCATAACAAATCTCTATAAGTACCGGTGTAAACCTTCAAAACACATGTCTATAAGTACCGGTGTAAGCCTTCAGAAGACATCTCAATAAGTATTTGTAAACCTTCAGAAGACATCTCTATAAGTAACTGTAAACCTTCAAAACACATCTCTTTAAGTACCGGTGTAAACCTTCAGAACACATCTCTATAAGTAACGTGTAAACCTTCAGAAGACATCTCTATAAGTAACGTGTGAACCTTCAAAACACATCTCTATAAGAAACGTGTAAACCTTCAGAAGACATCTCTATAAGTAACTGTAAAACTTCAGAAGACATCTCTATAAGTAACATGTAATTCTTTAGAAGACATCTCTATAAGTAACAGTGTAAATCCTCAGAAGACATCTCTATAAGTAACGTGTGAACGTTCAAAACACATCTCGGTAAGAAACGTGTAAACCTTCAGAAGACATCTCTATAGGTAACTGTAAACCTTCAGTAGACATCTCTATAAGTAACGTGTAAACCTTTAGAAGACATCTCTATAAGTAACTGTAATCCTTCAGAAGACATCTCTATAAGTAACATGTAATTCTTTAGAAGACATCTCTATAAGTAACAGTGTAAACCTTCAGAAGACATCTCTATAGGAAACAGTGCAAACCTTCAGAAGACATCTCGAAAAGTAACTGTAAACCTTCAGAAGACATATCTATAAGTAACTGTAAACCTTCAGAAGTCATCTCTATAAGTAACTGTAAACCTTCAAAAGACATCTCTAAAGGTAACTGTAAACCTTCAGAAGACATACCTATAAGTAACTGTAAACCTTCAGAACACATCTCTAAGTAACAGTGTAAACCTTCGGGAGACATCGCTATAAGTAACTGTAAACCTTCAGAAGTCATCTCTATAAGTAACTGTAAACCTTCAAAAGACATCTCTATAGGTAACTGTAACCCTTCAGAAGACATCTCTATAAGTAACTGTAATCCTTCAGAAGACATCTCTATAAGTAACATGTAATTCTTTAGAAGACATCTCTATAAGTAACTGTAATCCTTCAGAAGACATCTCTATAAGTAACATGTAATTCTTTAGAAGACATCTCTATAAGTAACTGTAAAACTTCAGAAGACATCTCTATAAGTAACTATAAACCTTCAGAAGACATCTCTGTAAGTAACTGTAAACCTTCAGAAGACATCTCTGTAAGTAACTGTAAACCTTCAGAAGACATACCTATAAGTAACTGTAAACCTTCAGAAGCCATCTCTATAAGTAACGTGTAAACCTTCAGAAGACATTACTATAAGTAACAGTGTAAACCTTCAGCAGACATCTCTATAAGTAACTGTAAACCTTCAAAACACATCTCTTTAAGTACCGGTGTGAACCTTCAGAACACATCTCTATAAGTACCTTTGTAAACCTTCAGAAGACAATTCTATAAGTAACAGTGTAAAACTTCAGAACACATCTCTAACTAACAGTGTAAACCTTCAAAACGCATCTCTATAAGTAACTGTAAACCTTCAAAACACATCTCTTTAAGTACCGGTGTAACCCTTCAGAACACATCTCTATAAGTACCTTTGTAAACCTTCAGAAGACAATTCTATAAGTAACAGTGTAAAACTTCAGAACACATCTCTAACTAACAGTGTAAACCTGCAAAACGCATCTCTATAAGTAGCTGTAAACCTTCAAAAGACATCTCTATAGGTAACTGTAAACCTTCAGAAGACATCTCTAAGTAACTTTAAACCTTCAGAACACATCTCTAAGTAACAGTGTAAACCTTCGGGAGACATCGCTATAAGTAACTGTAAACCTTCAGAAGACATATCTATAAGTAACTGTAAACCTTCAGAGGACATCTCTATATGTACCGGTGTGAACCTTCAGAAGACATCCCTATAAGTAACATTGTAAACCTTCAGAAGACATCTCTATAGGTAACTGTAACCCTTCAGAAGACATCTCTATAAGTAACGTGTGAACGTTCAAAACACATCTCGGTAAGAAACGTGTAAACCTTCAGAAGACATCTCTAAAAGTAACTGTAAACCTTCAGAAGACATACCTATAAGTAACTGTAAACCTTCAGAAGTCATCTCTATAAGTAACTGTAAACCTTCCGAACACATCTCTAAGTAACAGTGTAAACCTTCGGGAGACATCGCTATAAGTAACTGTAAACCTTCAGAAGTCATCTCTATAAGTAACTGTAAACCTTCAAAAGACATCTCTATAGGTAACTGTAACCCTTCAGAAGACATCTCTATAAGTAACTGTAAACCTTCAAAACACATCTCTTTAAGTACCGGTGTAACCCTTCAGAACACATCTCTATAAGTACCTTTGTAAACCTTCAGAAGACAATTCTATAAGTAACAGTGTAAAACTTCAGAACACATCTCTAACTAACAGTGTAAACCTTCAAAACGCATCTCTATAAGTAACTGTAAACCTTCCGAACACATCTCTAAGTAACAGTGTAAACCTTCGGGAGACATCGCTATAAGTAACTGTAAACCTTCAGAAGTCATCTCTATAAGTAACTGTAAACCTTCAAAACACATCTCTTTAAGTACCGGTGAAAACCTTCAGAACACATCTCTATAAGTTCCGTTGTAAACCTTCAGAAGACAATTCTATAAGAAACAGTGTAAAACTTCAGAAAACATCTCTAACTAACAGTGTAAACCTGCAAAACGCATCTCTATAAGTAGCTGTAAACCTTCAAGAGACATCTCTAAAGGTAACTGTAAACCTTCAGAAGACATCTCTATAGGTAACTGTAAACCTTCAGAAGACATATCTATAAGTAACTGTAAACCTTCAGAGCACATCTCTATAAGTACCGGTGTGAACCTTCAGAACACATCTCTATAAGTACCTTTGTAAACCTTCAGAAGACAATTCTATAAGAAACAGTGTAAAACTTCAGAAAACATCTCTAACTAACAGTGTAAACCTTCAAAACGCATCTCTATAAGTAGCTGTAAACCTTCAAGAGACATCTCTAAAGGTAACTGTAAACCTTCAGAAGACATCTCTAAGTAACTTTAAACCTTCAGAACACATCTCTAAGTAACAGTGTAAACCTTCGGGAGACATCGCTATAAGTAACTGTAAACCTTCAGAGGACATCTCTATAAGTACCGGTGTGAACCTTCAGAAGACAGCTCTATAAGTAACATTGTAAACCTTCAGAAGACATCTCTATAAGTAACTGTAAACCTTCAGAGGACATCTCTATAAGTACCGGTGTGAACCTTCAGAAGACATCTCTATAAGTAACATTGTAAACCTTCAGAAGACATCTCTATAAGTAACAGTGTAAACCTTCAGAAGACATCTCTATAAGTAACTGTAAACCTTCAGAAGACATCTCTGTAAGTAACTGTAAACCTTCAGAAGACATCTCTGTAAGTAACAGATAGATGTAGATTGTACCTTCATGAAATTATGCTTATTTGATGAAAATCAGCAATGCTGCATAAGAATTTATAATTTAGTGCTTCGGTGGATTGTTACTACCTGGTACTAACATTGACACATAGATGATGAAGATAAGAGTTTATACTTATTTTATGTCTTATAGGAAGGGGGCATCCCCCCCCTCCCCCCACC